CTGCCTAGCTAGTCAGATTTTTTTTTTAAATGTCCAGCAAGCCAAAGTAGTCTTTCTTCCTCTAATTAGGTTCCTCAGGGGAATCTGACCGTGTAACACTTGTCACATCCTTGATTGACTGTACTGTATTCCACTTCACAGCTGTGTTGTTGAGGTAGCTCTTCTCTTGACATGTTTAAAATTAGAAGTTATTATGTAATAATTGAGCCATGTTTTCCATTTATTTCAGGAGTCACATAGGTGACAGTGTAGTGAACGCTTTATATGGCTTATGGCTTTTCATTTATGAGTAAGAAAGAGTTGTGTTTTCTCTCTAAATCCAGGCTACTTACTTGCCTGTAGCTTAGTGTACATTTCAAGGCCTTCCTCTTTTTTAGTGCTCTTTGTTGGTCCTTTACATACATTTTCATGGTTTTCAAGACTGTTAGTAAGTCAGTAATTTTAACCATTACATATCTGGGAGAAGCTGATTGTCTGTAATGTGATGGAGATACCTCTTAGTTTTAATAATTTTTTGTGGATAATTAACATTATTTTGTTTTTGCCATTTCTGATTCTGTTCTTTTTATATCATGTTCGATTAGGACTCCATCTTCCTGCTGCCTTTTAATGTTTGAACTGGGGTTTTCACATTTCCCATTCCCATTTTTTATGCATCCAACTTTTGCTTTATAAACTTCTATCCGGTTAGGGAGTCTTATTTTTTCTTCACATAATGACCCTAAGCCCTTTTGGCCGCCACCCTTGCTGTAATTCGGTAAGACTGACACCAGAAACGACAGCATTCTCTACTAATTTGTGGTTTGCTGTTCATTACTCTACATATAGGTTTACTGCCGTCAGAGAATAAGAAACTTGTCAGGCAACTTTAATTACTCTTTGCTTTTGTATTTACTCTAATGCGGTTTCAAATTGCTGTAAGCTACTTAGTTTTAGAGATTCTGCACACAGAAAAGAATATGTGCGTGTCTCTGCTAAACGATCAGTTTGTCATCCAGATAGGTGGATTATCCCCCCTCTGCCACAACAAATCTGAAGCATAGGGCAAGGCACGTTTCTGGAAGTTTCTTTGTCACACATAGCAACCATTATGGTGTGTCACTGGATTGGCCAGCTCACACCCTCAGCTTTTGTGTCTACCTATCACACAATAGCAGCACTGCTTTTTCCCACCGTGGGTAGGATAATGAAGACAAAGATGAATTGTCCTTTGCTTGGTTTGGTCTGAATTAAGAAGACGCTGAACCTCCTTACACAGATGAATGACCATTTCTGTCCCAGCTCCAGCTTTTTATCACACCTATGGTTAGAGTAAAGATAGAGTAATCTTTTCTTATATAAATCAATCTACACCTGTACCATATTATTATTTCATTTTAGTTTGACAGTTAAACATGTTATAGTTTACTTATAATGTTCTAATCGCTAATGTATCTACAGTATGATGATTTGTGATTTTTTTGTTTTTCTGCTGCTATTCAGTTCTGTTATTCCATGACAGCCACACCCATTGGTACCATTAGGATTATTTAAAATGGAATCTTAAATAAGCCTTTTAATTATTAGCACTATGTCTTCTGTCCCTCTGCACGGAAATGTAACAAAAACAGCAGCAATTAAATCAAAAATAACAATAACTTATTATTGTTTAATGTAAGACTTAAAGAATGACTTAAATAATTCAGGAATTGTTTGGCCATTTTACCTTGGGGCTTACGCAACAATACACGTCTGACTGGCTGTAAAGAATATGCTGGAGCTCTGATTTGTTTACAACAAACTGATGTGCCTAATCAGGATGGACATGCTTGGGCGGGTAGACATGTTTAACATTTACCCAAAGAGTGCCAAGCATTCTTCTCGGCACAAACCTGACCAAACCAGCCGAAAAAGAGGTTCACTGGGGAGTTGAATTTGACTATTTCTAACAGCATAGCTTACATATTTTTCTAAGTTGAACATACAATATGTTTCCCACAGCAACATTACATTTTGAATGATAGCACAACTAGATAAAACCATTATAACTGGCGGGTTTAATTTAAGTAGGAATATTTGTGTAAGATAAGATAAGATATATACTTTATTGATCCCAAATTGGGATTTTTTGTTACAGCAGCATAACAAAACAAGGCATTGCACATAATTAGGAACAATTATAACATATTAAACAAATCAAATAGAATTTAAAGAGAAATAAAGAGTAAAAAAGTGTAAAGAATTTGAAAAACAGAATCTATTGCTTTGGAGGAAGTCGTAACAAATTGGAATTTCTGAAATCCCTTCTACTTACTCTGATAATGTGATTCCTAGGGAGTGATTGCTTGCTTATTTGAATCGATTTACAGCTCTTAACAACACTGCAGTCTCTTTGATCATGGGAAAACGTGTGGAAAGCTAAAATCTCCTGTCTGCTGCCATGGTAACAGGGCACAAGAAGCATGAGGAAGGAGCAGAGACACAGAGATGCGTCTCACCGTGCTCTCACCGTACTACAGCAGCTGCCACATCCTCTGCATGTGAAAACAATAACCTGTAGGGACGAGCATTGTTTTGTCCCCTGTAGCCTTTCCTGTTAAATGAAGACAATGTCAGGGAATTATCAAGGGATGCTTTATAATATATTTTTTTATGTGAATTGTTTTGGTTTAGAAAATGAGACACAGGTTGGTATACACTATATTTGCATTCAGGGAATATTTCGCCCACAAAATGACCATTTGTTTAACAATGACTCATCTTGTGTTACCTTGAATTCTCGAAGAAAGCTTTGTTTTTCTCGCCTCCACAGTGAGGTGTCCAAAGAAGGAGAAAAGACTCTCACAAAACAGCAGAGCCAAGGCTCATCACTTAGGCGTTTGCTCACTAATTCCCAAATTAGAATGTTAGCTTAAACCTTACCATTTTTCAACTCTTAAGCAAGAACAATCTTGTTTTAAAGTTTTTCGTTGAACATAAAGACATGCAAAAAAAAACCTTTGTCCTACAGAATACTAAACACGGGGTGAGTTATTGATACACAAATGGTCATTTTGTGAGTAAATGGTAAATGTTAATGCTGTAACATCCAGCTTGACTCATCATAGATAAATGAGGTTAATTTGAGGTTAAAATAACTATACAACGTGGTTGTTGCTATAGAGTACAAGCCTTAAAGATTCTTACTGTGGTTTTATTCTCAAAGCACATTACGTATGTAGCCAGAGGCAGTCTCAGGAGTGGGCTGCAGTCAGTCAGCGCCACAGACGGTCCAGAGGGTGCCCGTCACAACACTGCCAGATGGCCTCTTGGTGGCCTAATGCCAAGTTCACCACAATAAGCCCTTAGTGTCCTTTCACTGACATTTGCATTCCTTTTTCATGGAAAGTTATCAGGTCTTGACCAGGCAGACCCACATAACCAGCATCAGTAAAAACAGGGCAACCCCACATAGAACAGAAAATATGTTTGATCGTTTCAACATCTCTTCCCCTCAAAGTATCTCTGAGCATGACGCCAAAGCCTTGAGATGCGTTGACATAGTAAATCTGTCTGAGGCTACACACATATACCATTTATCAGTTTAACAATGTGTGGAGGAGAAAGCAATGTATTTTCATGTGTAATATGGGCTACTGTTTGCTCCAAGGCACACATTGTTATAGGACACTGGGGAGCTGTTGGGTGGCAAGACTTCATATTAGGATGGGAGAAGATTTAGAGGAGGAGGGCTGGCATAAGATATATGTAAGAGTATATATTTGACCTTTTATTGCTTCTAAAAAGGAATAATAGACAAATAAACTGTCCCTTTTTCCCATACTAAAAATGACCATAGATTAAATGCAGCCTCATGGGAAAGAGGATGAATTTGAACTTGTGCCAATCCCTCCGCAGAGCCTATTGTTATTGTTTCAGCACAGCTGGTCCATAGACATGCGTTACGTAATCTCTCTCCCCCCCACATGAGGTACAACTGTTGTCTCTGTGCAGCAGAATGAGGTAGAACAGGTTGTCTTCCTCTTTTCTTCTTTAAATAGAATGTACATTCAGGTTTTTTCTTGGTCACATCCTCTAAACAGTGCAGTCACCAGGGGTTTTGTTACATCAACTCATTCTGCTAAAGTACGAATTGATCACAGTCCTAGTTGGGGAAATGTGTTGCCATCTAGTCAAAGAATGTACCTCGTTTTACATTTAATAGTTTGGGTTTCTGTATTTTATTATGAGGCTAAATGTACATCATGCACTCAATAAATTCATTGGCTCACCCTATAATAGCACTCCTGTCTTTTCAAGCACTCATGACCTCAGGGCATCTTGCAACACAGCCTTAAAGTTACCTGTCATGTGATAACAGAACAAGGGTGTGGTCCTGCTCAGGTTGGAACAGCTGCAACTGCAAGGCAGGAATGTTGGTGTATCCTAAGGTAAAATAATTAGTACTCCTAGGCTGTTCCCATTTAAAGTTAGTTTGGAATTCATAAACAAAGGATGGGTTTTCCTCTAGAGTGGAATTTAGGTGTTGAAGTTTCAAAGTAGTACATTGTAAGATTTTTTCAACCAGTCATTACAGGATGTGAGCCAAAGAGGTTACTGTATTGTGAAAAAGTTCCATTGGGATGAACTGTACACTTTACAAGTTGGACATCTTGCATTCTGAATCCGGTTCCTTTCATGTATAGCAAATCAGGGTTTTTCCTCAATATCATGCAAAAGCAGCAGAGCCCAGATAAGTGTCACTTTTAACTCAGACATTCTTTGCTTTGAAAGCATGATTTGAAAATGGAGCATGCCAGTTATGCTAGCAGCTACACGCTTTTTTTTTGTCAGTTCATAACGTGACTCTGCTTGCTTTAAAGACAGAAGCAACACCTTCAATTTACTCCAATGCTGTTAAGCGGAAAAAGCCATATTGATTTTGTGTTGCGTTTGTGACCAAAGTGTTGCTCTAAAGTGGCATTTATGGCTAAGGGTGGGTGGTACTAAAAACACAATCAAAACCACAAGGACACAGTAAAGTCAGTTAACATGTTTTATTTTGCATATTTAACAAACATGTGCATCCAGATTTTGTTACCAAAGAACACACAGCTTGCTACAAGAGCATTTAAAAGTGGGCAGAAAAGGGATACAAATCAGAAAGTGTCTGTCCCTCAGTTGTTTCATGACACTTCTGCACTTATCCACAACAGATGATCAGGAACCCATGCCGACGCCAGGCCACGCTTCCTTGCTGTACAGAGAGACATCTACCCATTTTTTGAACCGAAAAAAAGGCAAGGCTTGTGAAATGTACAGGAGGACTAGTCTTCATTATGTTGACTTCTCCTGATCGATGGCTGCAAGAGGGATACAAATAGAGTTTGTGTGATTAGTACAAAGGGTTTTTGACTATAGCAATTAATGTTGTGGATGTAGATCTTAAGGTACTGCACATACTTTCTTTGGTTGGCAGGGTGTTTTTCTCAGCGGTGTCCGTCTTCTTCAGCTTGGTCTTGTCGAAGGTTGTTACTCCTGAGAGATCCGCTTTGTCAGCCATATCTGCAGAGGCTCTAAAACAGATACGAAACCTTAGATCAGCTTTGCTTCAATATAGTTTAATCAGAACGCAGCTGGGCATGTGAATAGATGATTAAGGTCACAATTAACAACGTGTAGGGTAATTTAAATGACTTAACTATAAGTAACATCTAGGGCTGATGCAGACACTGCATGTGCTGTTTTATCAGCGCCAGACTTGAGACAGGCTTTGTGTCAGTAAGTGCACGCGGGCAGCTGATGGGACCCCGCCCTTTAATGCAATCTAGAGGAGCAGACTGCATCAACTATAGCAGACCCCAGTGAACAATATAACTCACTCAAGAAGGCTGAGCATGCACTGAATCTCAGGTGAAAAGTGGTAAGCCAATCAGATCATAGGTTACTGAAACAAAGCATGTAGCATTTGATTGGATCCATAGACTTGATTACATGTCATTTTGTGCCGTTTTTGTGGAAAACGGGAAAGAGTTTTTGAATGTTCTGATTATTTCCGGGAGGTTTGAACACATACGCGAGTATAACGCTGTCTGATAATGAGATAGGACATTGTGGGAGAAGGAAACGTAATACAATCAAAACAACGGTGACCAAATCATTCAATAGACAGGCTAAAAGAGAAAGAGGCTTTAAAGAAAACGTGAATATAAGAATATGAACACTCACCTTAGTTTTAGTCTGAGAGACAGTTAGATACTCGTCTGGGTGGCGCAGGAGCGTAATGATGGCTGTAGCGTCAATCCCACTATAAATACTGCGCAGTATGCAAATCATCTTCTGACGTCACGTCCACTGTCTCTTAAGCCTGCTTTTTAATAATATGATTTTTCTTTAACAAACAAAAGTACCAAACCTATCCATAGGCTGAAACTGTATTTTAAATCAGTGACGTGCGTGAATGTATTTGAGGAAACACTGCGACCACCTGCATCAGATTAGGTGAATGAAATCACCCATCGGTTTTCTCCTGTCATTAAAGAAGGCGTTATAGCATACAGCAGGTGTTCATTTCTGCCACAAAGCGAATAAAATGTAGTTAAAAAAGTGATGAATGAGACAATGGGTTTACTCGTTTAGGTTTAACTTGCATAAAGCGCACTATTACAGCCTTACATGCATACAGAGAAGTTATCAAGCGGCGACACCTTGCGGACAAACAAAGTGAAAACCAGGAAGTGTAGATGAGGACCTGCAGGTATGTGTATCTGCTATATTTACATATTGTTTAAATAAATCAATATGCATCCATAGTATAACGGTGTCAGACAAACGTCCAATGTGAATTTACAATTCATACAATTGCTGAGAGTTTTGGTTAAGCACATTTCAACAATTTTTGTTTTGAGTTTCTGAGGTTTTTTTCTCTGGAGGCTAGACCAATGACCAATAACTTAAAAAGAGGATAATGCGGTACATTTTTGCCCTTTTTTATGGTTGATCTTTGACATATTTGTTTAAGTTAGATAGAGACCAGATAACAGACAGGCACACATATGTATTTACACAGGGTAATAGCAAGACATGAAGTAGCCTATCATTTTAAATACAGATAAAAAATATCAAAGGTATTTATTTGTCTTCATTTAAGGCCCAAGGAGAGTGGTAACAGTTGTGAAGGACCATGTTATCAGAGCAACAGTTGAACATATTCCCAATATAATTGTCCACATTTATACAGATCTGTCCCAGTCATTGGCTCACTTGCTGGTGAAGTATTTTGAATATTTCTTGTTGTACATCAACTTGTTGTCCACTCTGACCACATTCCTCAGGTTTTGCCAAAACCAGGGCTCAGCAGCAGCTGTTCTCGGCCACTCCACAACACTTTTCTCACACAGCCTCCTCCTCAGGCGCAGAAAGTGAGAGTGCTGCAGGACGGGCTCCAGCATCAGCAGCACAATCACATCCAGGTTCTCATCAAGCAGTCTTTGGTGGGCCAGATACATTGCCAGTTTGAAAACCCCGGTCTTAACGTAGCCCTCCGTCAAGACGAACAGGGTCTTGCGACTGTACTGGATGCTGTGAGTGAGGTTATTTACCAGGGGGGCGCCGGGGGTCCAATCTCTCTCCTCAAGACACAGAGGAAGATGCTTCTCTCCTTCCTCTTCCAGTTTCACTCGCAGATTCCTCATCACCCATTCAGTGACATGTGGATCTGTGGTGTCGTAAGTCACAAAGACATCATAAATGGCGCCTGGTGAGTTAAAGGCTCTGTATCCTTTTATCTTAGCTTTCATATAGTGCATCACGTAGGAAGCATCCCAGTAAAAAAAGTGGGAAACTGTTGCCACAAACATAAAAACAATAATTAATGAACTTGTGAGGATGTAAATCAAGAACGCCTGACTGTCATCTATACACTCCCTAATGTCAAATTTGATCAGAACGTTATCTTTTTGATCTGCTGGTGTGTCACATGTCACATCAGTGATTAGTCTAGGAATCTTTACATTACTGTTTTCCATCCAAATAATGAAATCAAGTGCATCGCAGGTACATTGGAACGGGTTGCCTTGCAAGAACAAAGTGTGAAGCTGAGATTCAGATCTCGATGGGAAGGTGGATTGATTGATAATAGTCAGTTTGTTGTAGCTTAGGCTAAGAGCTGTAAGCTGTTTTACACCATTTACAAATCCACTGTCCAAGTGGAAAATGTAATTATGACTCAGGTCAAGGAAAGTCAAAGTGCGGGTTACGTTTGAGTTTATAAGTGTCACATTAGGTAGAGAATTGAAGCTCAGGTCCAAAATCTGAAGTTGATGGAAAAACTTGAGTCTGTCCCATTTAAAATCAGTAAGCAAGTTGTGACTTATGCGTAGTATTGTGAGGTTACGCGGCAAATATTCATAAACATAGTCTGGAATCGTTGAAATGTGGTTGCTGGATATGTCTAAAATTGTCAAATTAATAAGATTAGTAAAAATGCTCTTATATGAGAGATCTGTTTCTTTCCAAAGGGTCCCCAGAAGATTATCTGTAAACTGAAGTTCTGTTAATGAACGGCTGTACATCTGTTTGGTGGTTAAAATGGAAATGGAGTTATAACTCATATTCAGCACCCTCAGAGCAGGAAGATTTTGTGTGAAATTTAAATTAAGTGTTACCCCGTACGCTTCAAAGTAGTGTTCATTGTGACTAAGGTCTAGCACTTGTAGTTTCTTTAGTTCACTGAAGGCTCCGCTATAGGCCAAATCAATCCTATTGAATGACAGGTCCAGGTATGTTAGATTCTGCAGTGGTGAAAACTCTGTACCATTAGGTGCTGCTGAAAATCCATTTTTTGAGAGGTTAAGACATGCAATGTCTTCATAGCCAACAAACTGCTTTGGAGAAATGAAGAACATATTATTTGAGCTGAGAGATAGCACTCGTCCAGAGTTAAAACAGTCTTCCTTGACAAGGCTCTTCACATGCTCATAAACATAATCATCCGGAAGAGGAATTGTGAGCGGAGGAATAGAAAGTTCGGACCTCTGATTGTAACCACCGTATGATGAATCAAGCCGATTTCTATCTGGAGTGGGAAAAAGCTTGTTTTCTGCGAGGTACATCACTTTCAGGTTGTGGAATTTGTGAAATACAGTGGAATCGGAGTGGATAATAAAGTTTGTCCCTAAGTTCATGGTAGAGAGATTTTTGAGTTGGTACAGAGGTCTGAGCGTCTCCGGTCCAATACTCTGGAAGACCAATCCCTGCAAATGAAAAACTTTAAGGGACTTAAGATGTGAAAACTCTTCTGAGAGATTTAATTGTGTAGGGTATAACTTGATACCATAGTTGAAAGAGATATCAAGTCTCTCTAGCTTAGGAAGATGTCTCAGAAATGTTGCCTCCTCAGTAATTGCCTTAAATAAGAAGTTAAAAGACAGGAACAATTGTTTAAGTTTGTTCAGACTCTTAAACCAGGAAGGATCCAGGTGTGTCAGTGAGTTTCCTCCCATATTCAGTATCTTCAGCTGGGTTAGATATTGAAATGCATTAGGATCAATATCAAGAGACTTGTTTGGACAGGTGACACAGGGATGTGGAGCGTTTTCACATCTTGGACAGTTCCCTTCTAATTTCAGGACTGTTACATTTGGAAGCATAAGAAAACCAGGGATGTGATTTATTCTGTTATTATCCAGCTTCAACACGCCTAATGACGGTGGGAAACCTTTGGGAACTTCAGTTAAGTTGTTATGAGACAAGTCCAAATGCTTCAGTTTGCTCATTACTTCCAAACGGTTTTCCATGTTAACAGATGTCTTACAAGGATTGCTGTAGTAGCAGTTTTTGGCTAACACTAACTGTTTAATATTAGCTAAGCAATCAAATTTCCCATTCAACAACATAATGTTGTTACTGTTCAGCTCAATGATTTCCAAACTGGGAGGAAGATTAGCAGGAATTTCCTTCAGACCAGTGCCACTCAGTTTCAGTTCACGCAGTTTTGTCAGATTTTTGAAAGCATTCACATTGATGATCACCGGTTTGTCAATGTTTGCTCTGCTGAGATCAAGTTGGGTCAGATTCAGCAAGTTGGATAATGAGTCATTCCAAATATCCAGAATGGAATTGTCTGATAAGATGAGATGAGTTGCATTGTTGGTTATCCCATCAGGTACTTCTGTCAGTCCACGGCCTCCACAGTCAAATAGGACATTAGAGTTATTGTCGGCTGTGACATCACAAGAGAACTGCAGTGTCATCCACTCAGGTTTGCTTTCAGCGGGCTGGATCTTATATTGGCAACACAGATAGGACAGCAGCAAGTGCATCCAACATGCGACCGTCTGTAGATGAACAACAGCATTAGTGGAATGCAGCGAGGTATAGTCAGTTATCCACAAACATGTATAAACAGATTGTATATCATGAAGTACATTATACATTATGAAAAATGGTTTATTCATCAAGCAAACCTGTTTCAATATCAATATGGGGACCTGACTTCAGGTCATATTTGACAAATGGTATTTATGAATGGCACCATTTGTATCCAGCAGGTGGCAGCACTCTCACTATTTTGAATAATTAACACCTTGTCCAAACTGAGGCCCGGGGGCCAAATGCGGCCCGTGGTCCATTTTAATCGGCCCTCAGCAGATTCTAAAAGTATAATGAAATATGGCCCACACCTGAAACTTATGCTTGTCTTATATTGTACTTCTTAAATATATATTAGACCCTCCAGAAAAACGCGATTATGCGATCGCATAATCAGCAAAATGGCGCAGATTTTTAAAAGGGCGCATATTTATTAAAAGGTCGCATAATCCCCGCATTTTTCCACACAAAGTTGAGGAAAAAAAAAGTTAACGTGAAGTAGTGATGTCATCAGCTCGCGCAGGTAAACAACACCGTAGAGTGAATGTGTGGAACTCACACGAGAGAGAAAACAACAAGATCAGCGCCATATAGATTATTATATACTATTATACTATTATTATTATATACTAAATACTATTATACGGCTCTGACCAAGATGAAAAAATCGAATCCATCTCATTTGCCTACGAACATTTCTGCTAAAGACCGGGCAAAGCAGTACCCCGATGTCTTGCACGAAAGTGGGGGGAAACTATTCTGCACCCCGTGCAACTGTGTGTTGGAGCATAAGAGAAAATCGACGGTGACGACCCACTTTGATTCATTCAAACATTCTAAAATGCTTTCTGCTGCTGCGGACAAGAAAGTCAAACAACTCACGTTCACCGAGGCATCAACCTACAATAAACGAGGTGAGTAGCCTACAAGATTGAAGCTGGTCAGATAACGAACGAGTAAATGAAAACAGAATGAGGGCGGAGAAGTGTGTGTGTGTGTGTGTGTGTGTGTGTGTGTGTGTGTGTGTGTGTGTGTGTGTGTGTGTGTGTGTGTGTGTGTGTGTGTGTGTGTGTGTGTGTGTGTGTGTGTGTGTGTGTGTGTGTGTGTGGTGTGTGTTGTGTGTGTGTGTGTGTGTGTGTGTGTGTGGTGTGTGTGGTGTGTGTGTGTGTGTGTGTGTGTGTGTGTGTGTGTGTGTGTGTGTGTGTGTGTGTGTGAGAGAGAGAGTGATTAAAATAGCCCATATATAAATACATAAATAACACTTTGTGATGTAGCTTGCTTCTAGTATGCTTGTTTATCATAGGAACTCTTTAAAAGGGCTCACTTTCATTCAGTAGTAGCCTAGTAACAGGGTGTGGGAGAAGAATCACCTTTTTTCCGCCTCCCGCATATTTCGCAACTTTTCGCATATTTAGCATATTTCCGCATATTTCGCAACTTCACCGCATAAAATCACATAAAAACCCCGCATGTTTATCGCATAATCAAGGATTTTAGCCCGCATAATCAAGGATTTTAGCCCGCATAATCAAGGATTTTAGCCCGCGTTTTTCTGGAGGGTCTAATATATGTACAAATATATTATACAGTATTCATGTGTTAATAAGCCCTCTTTTCCAAAAAATGCAGGCAATTATGGTTGAAAGCATTTCCTAACAAATCTTAGTTAATAAAAAAGCCCAATAACTTATCTACATAACAAGCTTGAAATATACCCTTCATATTTCCCCGTATTAAAAGCAATCTGAGGCTTGTTTTGAGGCTGCCAACAAAATAAATGAAACCCTATGGAAAGCTGTGATGTAGGCTGTTTTTTTTTCTTAGTATCAAGCATAATTGACCTACATTTATTTTGCTAACTTATAACTTAACTTATGAGGCAATATACCTCACCTCTAGCGAGTGGCCCAGAACTTCGTATGTTTTTCTGTATGTGTCCCTCAATGAAAAAGAGTTTGCCTTGCAGCTATAAATAATTAACCTTTTGCTCAACAATGGCTATTTAGTACCAAAACAAGTGTAGAAAAAAGGCCAAAAAGTAAGTTTATTGACTCAGAAATGTCAGATAAACTATTTTTAACCAACATTAGTCCCCATAAGATATGAGTCGTACCAGGCTATACCAGTCACACCAAGCTTTAGCAGCAAAACTCCTGAGGTCACTGAACTATGTAATCGGGTGTATTATTGCATATGATTTACCGTATTATTATTTTTAGCACTTCCTCTAAAAGCTACACATTCTCTCTTTGACAAACCTTTTTAAGTTTAGTTCCTTGAACAGTACTGTAGGTTGCCTAAGGTTGTAGAGAAACTTTAACAGAGACAGTATCACATTGTATTCTTTATCAACCTGTTCCAACTCTAAATAAAAGTATTGAGTTAGTGAAATATTGATAATAATAAATATGAATGAATAATGTTTGTAATCTCTAGTCCACCGATCACTGCTTGGTAATGGGTTTACTGTTACTCTAATAATTGAGATCGATACTGATTGAATAAGGTGACAGGAATTGTTTTTTTCAACACAGTTGTGAGTAAACTGTAATGTTCCATATGAAATGTAGAACAACACATTATAAAATAACAGTTTTCAATGAGTCAAGTAAATGTATACACAGTAATATATAGTGCCGTAAAGATAATTGCAGAAACACAAAATCAAAACACATTACATTAAAGAAGAATTCAATCTAAATCCATAACACACGCCGATGAATAAAGTTGTAAGCTACAGTTCAGTAGATACATCTATATATAGAGCAAATCTTAAGAATATACCGAGAAATGTGTATCAAATAAACTCACCATCGTGTATGCCGCGTATTGATCCTTTATGTTCCTTTAAATACAGCCTTAAAAAACACGTGACCTTGCCTGAAGTCACTATGAGTTAATCTTTTTAATGTTAATCAAGAATATATATACAGCAGACATAAAATCCACCGGTTGCTGAAGTAAAACTAAACTCTGGTTCTGGGACAGAAGTACCATTTCATTTGAAGAAGTGCTTCTCTTTCACTTCCTCTTTTCTTGTTATGGTGGAAGTTTTGTTCGTGTCCCAGACAAAGTAAAACAAGCAGCAAGTTCTCTATTAAGGGACTGCACACAAATGGTCATTCATATAACAAAAATGCATTTAAAAACTGGGTTGCTTAGCATTCAAAAGTCATTATTTATATCAGGAACCCATGCCGACGCCAGGCCACGCTTCCTTGCTGTACAGAGGGACATCTACCCATTTTTTTAACCGAAAAAAGGCAAGGCTTGTGAAATGTACAGGAGGACTACTTCATTATGTTGACTTCTCCTGATCGATGGCTGCAAGAGGGATACAAATAGAGTTTGTGTGATTAGTACAAAGGGTTTTTGACCATAGCAATTCATGTTGTGGATGTAGATCTTAAAGGTGGGGTAGGTAATTTTGGAGAAACCAGCTCGAGATTGCTAGAATTTGAAAATACACAGCCGGAAAAAATCTGCCACTTCCTTACAGAGCCCCTCCTCCAACACACACAAACGCGCACATGACCAATGAGGGCACGAGATAAGTTTGTGCACAGATGGAAGGCTGACAGGCAGGTAGGCCATCCAGTTATTTTAGCCGGGCCGGCTAAAATGATTGGTCGTGCTTTTTACAGTACTACGGCTTCCACAGATGACATTTTTTTATGGATTTTTTGTCAAAGCACTTAAGATATTCATTGCTATCGGGATGTTAAGAGCATTCCATGGAATATAACAAAATGTGTATCTCGAGCCGGTTTCTCAAACTTACCTACCCCACCTTTAAGGTACTGCACATACTTTCTTTGGTTGGCAGGGTGTTTTTCTCAGCGGTCTCCGTCTTCTTCAGCTTGGACTTGTCGAAGGTTGTTACTCCTGAGACATCCGCTTTGTCAGCCATATCTGCAGAGGCTCTAAAATAGATAAGAAACCTTAGATCAGCTTTGCTTCAATATAGTTTAATCAGAACGCACCTGGGCATGTGAACAGATGATTAAGGTCACAATTAACAACGTGTAGGGTAATTTAAATGACTTAACTATAAGTAACATCTAGGGCTGATGCAGACCATCCAGTTATTTTGTGCTGTTTTATCAGCGCCAGACTTGAGACAGGCTTTGTGTCAGTTAGTGCACGCGGGCAGCTGATGGGACCCCGCCCTTTAATGCAATCTAGAGGAGCAGACTGCATCAACTATAGCAGACCCCAGTGAACAATATAACTCACTCAAGAAGGCTGAGCATGCACTGAATCTCAGGTGAAAAGTGGTAAGCCAATCAGATCATAGGTTACTGAAACAAAGCATGTAGCATTTGATTGGATCCATAGACTTGATTACATGTCATTTTGTGCCGTTTTTGTGGAAAACGGGAAAGAGTTTTGAATGTTCTGATTATTTCCAGGAGCTTTGAACACATACGCGAGTATAATGTTGTCTGATAATGAGATAGGACATTGTGGGAGAAGGAAACGTAATACAATCAAAACAACGGTGACCAAATTATTCAATAGACAGGCTAAAAGAGAAAGAGGCTTTAAAGAAAACGTGAATATAAGAATATGAACACTCACCTTAGTTTTAGTCTGAGAGACAGTTAGATACTCGTCTGGGTGGCGCAGGAGCGTATGGCTGTAGCGTCAATCCCACTATAAATACTGCGCAGTATGCAAATCATCTTCTGACGTCACGTCCACTGTCTCTTAAGCCTGCTTTTTAATAATATGATTTTTCTTTAACAAACAAAAGTACCAAACCTATCCATAGGCTGAAACTGTATTTTAAATCAGTGACGTGCGTGAATGTATTTGAGGAAACACTGCGACCACCTGCATCAGATTAGGTGAATGAAATCACCCATCGGTTTTCTCCTGTCATTAAAGAAGGCGTTATAGCATACAGCAGGTGTTCATTTCTGCCACAAAGCGAATAAAATGTAGTTAAAAAAGTGATGAATGAGACAATGGGTTTACTCGTTTAGGTTTAACTTGCATAAAGCGCACTATTACAGCCTTACATGCATACAGAGAAGTTATCAAGCGGCGACACCTTGCGGACAAACAAAGTGAAAACCAGGAAGTGTAGATGAGGACCTGCAGGTATGTGTATCTGCTATATTTACATATTGTTTAAAGCTCCCATGTCATGCTTTTTCGGTTATTACCCGTCCCCTTGTGTGTTATGAAGGTTTTTATGCATGTAAACGGTGTGCAGAGTCAAAACCCTCAAAGTACACCCTGTAGCGAGTAAAACTCTAACACAGAAAATACCTCCCCAAAACACCTCGTTGGAGATACGTCACTGCCCATTTGATTCTTCCGGGTACCGCATGATGTCATGCGGTACCCGGAACGAAATGGACCAATCCCGAAGAGCTATGGCCACACCAGCAGCGGCGTGTTCCTCCTCCAGAGGTTCGAAGAACCGGCATTTCACAGACGAAAGCTTCCAAAACATTGCCCAGTTTGAGGCCGGATATGCACAGCTTGTTTGGACCGTTTGGAGCAGGGGAAGATCTGGGTATACAACCTGTAAGTTTGCATTGTTATTTGTGTATTTATCAAACAAGACTGTTTAAATGTGTAAACTGTGTTGGACTGCTAAGCCATTGACACAGTGCTAACTGTGCTAACTAAGTTGCTAGAGTTTCCATATATCAACTCTAATATCAGCAGATGGCCTTGCATACATGTATCTCATAGCAGGAGAATGTCTGCATTCACACACAAAATACCTATTGACAGTATACTGCGGGTGATTTGCCGGTCAGTCGCGAAACGTAATTACATTATAGCTGGCGTAGCGATCTAACACACGGAGCACTAGTTTTGGTCAGAAAAACATTTTTGTGATGCTACGTTGCTAGCATTTAAATATATCAACTACAATGTCAGCAGATGGCCTTACATGTTTGTCATGGCAGGAGAATGTCTGCAGTCACACACACGGAATACTCATACAGTATACTCCGGTTTACCGTACATTGTGACCGTACATATACTGCATGTAGCTAACGAGGCTAGCTGTATGCTAGCGCAAAACAATGTATTCATGCAAGTTACATTGTATGGTAGCAGAATACCCGTATACGATTGCAATTATAAACACGTTATTGCTAGCCTAATATGAACCACTAGCTTTTGTTCATAGTAGTTTTATTACACTGCATTATAGTTGCCTTTCCTCCAAGCTAACGTTCATATCGTGTTAGCTACCAAGGTAAACAAAGCTAGGTTAGCATATTAGCAGGCAAGCTGTTCATTACACAACTACTACTAACGAATCTAAAACAACTAAGTTTCTCTAATATTTTGTGATTTGCATTTGATTTCGTCCAGCCAGATCCTGGCGGACAATCCATGACGGGGAAGGGATTCTACTACTACTGAGGCCTCGTGCTAAAAGGCACCGCACCGCACCGGCTGTGCGCAGGCAAGAGGAGGAGGAATGGATGATATACCGTGTATATATGTATATTTATGTTCATTTTGTACATTTCTAAAAATAAAGTTTAATGGAAATACTTAGTAGGCCTATCCTTTCTTCCCTGAATTCATATATAGCAAACCATGATTTGATTTCTCATCAAACAGTAGTAGTTTATAACGGGTAAAAATAACTTACTCTTTGTTATGAGAGTAGCTCGTAGGCCACAACGGAAAGACAAGGAGACATACACGAGTTTACAAAACCACGGCACATTTATTGTGGTAAATGCAGAGACAGGTGGTTGAGAGGATCGCAGAGTTAGTCTTCCTGCAGCCGCTTTGGAGAGAGACTGGGGCCGTAGTGTCCGGAGGTGTCCGTGATCGTGCTGATTAGCCGCTTCAGCTCCACCCCATCGTAAGACAAAGGCCCTGGGGCCGTCACACTCTTCTATAACAACAGTTACAAATATATATGTATATAAAATATACCGCTGTACCGACGCCATGATAAGACTGATGTTACGCTGAGAGCAGCCGGGAAAAGCACTGACATGGGTGCAGCCTCTCTGGTGGTTGACTAATCAGAACGAGTGGCCGAGCTGACCAATCGGAGCACACTAGGCTCACAGGGAGGGGGGGGCAAGAGCTCCAACGAGTCGTTTAGTGGAGAAAGTGAATACTGCTGAATACACATGCTTGACAGAGATGCTGTATGCGAAACCAATGTGAGTTTGGAAAATTGCACAGTATAAATCTATTTTAGTATACCTCAACAATGTAATTATGATCAGTGGAAATGGCCATGACATGGGCCCTTTAAATAAATCAATATGCATCCATAGTATAACGGTGTCAGACAAACGTCCAATGTGAATTTACAATTCATACAATTGCTGAGAGTTTTGGTTAAACACATTTCAACAATTTTTGTTTTGAGTTTCTGAGGATAATGCGGTACATTTTTGCCCTTTTTTATGGTTGATCTTAGACATATTTGTTTAAGTTAGATAGAGACCAGATAACAGACAGGCACAAATATGTATTTACACAGGGTAATAGCAAGACATGAAGTAGCCTATCATTTTAAATACAGATTAAAAATATCAAAGGTATTTATTTGTCTTCATTTAAGGCCCAAGGAGAGTGGTAACAGTTGTGAAGGACCATGTTATCAGAGCAACAGTTGAACATATTCCCAATATAATTGTCCACATTTATACAGATCTGTCCCAGTCATTGGCTCACTTGCTGGTGAAGTATTTTGAATATTTCTTGTTGTACATCAACTTGTTGTCCACTCTGACCACATTCCTCAGGTTTTGCCAAAACCAGGGCTCAGCAGCAGCTGTTCTCGGCCACTCCACAACACTTTTCTCACACAGCCTCCTCCTCAGGCGCAGAAAGTGAGAGTGCTGCAGCACGGGCTCCAGCATCAGCAGCACAATTACATCCAGGTTCTCATCAAGCAGTCTTTGGTGGGCCAGATACATTGCCAGTTTGAAAACCCCGGTCTTAACGTAGCCCTCCGTCAAGACGAACAGGGTCTTGCGACTGTACTGGATGCTCTGAGTGAGGTTATTTACCAGGGGGGCGCCGGGGGTCCAATCTCTCTCCTCAAGACACAGAGGAAGATGCTTCTCTCCTTCCTCTTCCAGTTTCACTCGCAGATTCCTCATCACCCATTCAGTGACATGTGGATCTGTGGTGTCGTAAGTCACAAAGACATCATAAATGGCGCCTGGTGAGTTAAAGGCTCTGTATCCTTTTATCTTAGCTTTCATATAGTGCATCACGTAGGAAGCATCCCAGTAAAATAAGTGGGAAACTGTTGCCACAAACATAAAAACAATAATTAATGAACTTGTGAGGATGTAAATCAAGAACGCCTGACTGTCATCTATACACTCCCTAATGTCAAATTTGATCAGAACGTTATCTTTTTTATCTGCTGGTGTGTCACATGTCACATCAGTGATTAGTCTAGGAATCTTTACATTACTGTTTTCCATCCAAATAATGAAATCAAGTGCATCGCAGGTACATTGGAACGGGTTGCCTTGCAAGAACAAAGTGTGAAACTGATATTCAGATCTCGATGGGAAGGTGGATTGATTGATAATAGTCAGTTTGTTGTAGCTTAGGCTAAGAGCTGTAAGCTGTTTTGCACCATTTACAAATCCACTGTCCAAGTGGAAAATGTAATTATGACTCAGGTCAAGGAAAGTCAAAGTGCGGGTTACGTTTGAGTTTATAACTGTCACATTAGGTAGAGAATTGAAGCTCAGGTCCAAAATCTGAAGTTGATGGAAAAACTTGAGTCTGTCCCATTTAAAATCAGTAAGCAAGTTGTGACTTATGCGTAGTATTGTGAGGTTACGCGGCAAATATTCATAAACATAGTCTGGAAGCGTTGAAATGTGGTTGCTGGATATGTCTAAAATTGTCAAATTAATAAGATTAGTAAAAATGCTCTCATATAAGAGATCTGTTTCTTTCCAAAGGGTCCCCAGAAGATTATCTGTAAACTGAAGTTCTGTTAATGAACGGCTGTACATCTGTTTGGTGGTTAAAATGGAAATGGAGTTATAACTCATATTCAGCACCCTCAGAGCAGGAAGATTTTGTGTGAAATTCAAATTAAGTGTTACCCCGTACGCTTTAAAGTAGTGTTCATTGTGACTAAGGTCTAGCACTTGTAGTTTCTTTAGTTCACTGAAGGCTCCGCTATAGGCCAAATCAATCCTATTGAATGACAGGTCCAGGTATGTTAGATTCTGCAGTGGTGAAAACTCTGTACCATTAGGTGCTGCTGAAAATCCATTTTTCGAGAGGTTAAGACATGCAATGTCTTCATAGCCAACAAACTGCTTTGGAGAAATGAAGAACATATTATTTGAGCTGAGAGATAGCACTCGTCCAGAGTTAAAACACTCTTCCTTGACAAGGCTCTTCACATGCTCATAAACAAAATCACTCGGATGGGGAATTGTGAGCGGATGAATAGAAAGTTCGGACCTCTGATTGTAACCACCACATGAATCAAGCAGATTTCTATCTGGAGTGGGAAAAAGCTTGTTTTCTGCGAGGTACATCACTTTCAGGTTCTGGAATTTGTGAAATACAGATTCGGAGTGGATAATAAAGTTTGTCCCTAAGTTCATGATAGAGAGATTTTTGAGTTGGTACAGAGGTCTAAGCGTCTCCGGTCCAATACTCTGGAAGACCAATCCCTGCAAATGAAAAACTTTAAGGGACTTAAGATGTGAAAACTCTTCTGAGAGATTTAATTGTGTAGGGTATAACTTGATACCATAGTTGAAAGACATATCAAGTCTCTCTAGCTTAGGAAGATGTCTCAGAAATGTTGCCTCCTCAGTAATTGCCTTAAATAAGAGGTTAAATATCAGGAACAATTGTTTAAGTTTGTTCAGACTCTTAAACCAGGAAGGATCCAGGTGGTCCAGTGAGTTTCCTCCCATATTCAGTATCTCCAGCTGGGTTAGATATTGAAATGCATTAGGATCAATATCAAGATACTTTTTTGGACAGGTGACACAGGGATGTGGATAGGTTTCACATCTTGGACAGTTCCCTTCTAATGTCAGGCGTGTTAAATTTGGAAGCATAAGAAAACCATCAGGGATGTGATTTATTCTGTTATTATCCAGCTTCAACACGCCTAATGATGGT